TGTGCGCCAGCTGACTGTGGGCGGGGGGGGGGGGGGGTATCCGCCCTCACCCTCGAAAATGTTAACCCAAGCTGAAACACTTTGTGTATTTGTGTCGATGCGACACAGTTGAAGAGGAATGCCTGTCTTGCACCTCAAAATACAGGAAATGGCGCTTCAGAGGGTCTAGATTTCAAAAAATTGTCTGGAGAAGCATGCCCCCCGTACGGTGAGCAGATCTTGCCCCCGTGCAAAATCTCGTGCCCCGCCGGCCTCTGAAATGGTTGTTGAAAACCGTCCAACCAATCACAGCAATTGTCACTTCGCTGTCTTAAACTGATTGTTACTTTTTAGCTCCCTTGCGTTGTCATCAAAGATGATGATTTTGTCAAAGATGACAAAGCGGAACTGTCCATTGATGTGATTGTCCGTCGTCATCCGTCAACGTAAACTACTTGGCCAATTGATACTTGGTATGTAGGTACCTTGGATGGACCTCTGTCAGATTTGTTTATTTCGTGATGATATCTTCAATTCCCTATTTTTTTCGCCTTATTATTAAAAACTAACATCCCAATTGTTTTGATACTTGGCATGTAAGTATCATGACCTCCATAAAATTCGTAACAAGATGATAACAATTGTAATTTCCATGGCAACAACTAAATAAACTACCATGGTTGTGATATGTCGGAACGTTGTAGGAACACTACTGACCATGGCATAGAACATTATCAACTTTGTTTTGAGGAAGACAGTTTACAAAGACAGCAGAGATATTTCGGCCGTTATATCGCGTGTCCATGTCTAACTGCAAATTAAACATCACTACCACTGAAAACCTAATTACAGATACCTGCCTCGATACTGTACAAAATGAGAGATGTTCATTCAGCAGAAGACTTCATACGAATATTTCACCGCCCTAAACCCCCGTCAGGGCCCGGCTATCATGACGAAGGTACGTTCAAATTTCTCTTCCTTGATCTTTTTCTTACACATTGCAAAACTTAAAGGCGGAAGTCGTCGCGCCACGCATGCGCGAGATATATAATATGAGTGTCATATAAACAAAGATGGAGACTGTTGCGCAGATCATGGAACTATAAACCCCGATAGTTCCATGCGCAGATCAACGAGTACAAACTGAGACGTTACCAAGCTTTAATTAGGTTTTTTAGGTGATTGAAAGGTATCGAGGGAGTTAATGCTGGTAATTAGTGCAAGTCGCGCCATTTTCATTATACAAGCGCATTGGATGGTGGGGGAAATCAATGTTTATCAACACAAATGTCGCACATGTGCAGCGCGACGACCAACGCCCTTTGTTCATTTAAGTAATTGTCCGTCGTCGTCTGTCCACTCGCCCGTCGTCCGTCAACAATTATTTTCTGCTTTTTATTGAAAACTACCTAGCCAATTTCTTTCATTGATACGTGGCAGTATCTTCATTTTTTCAAATTGTTATCGAATATTTTTCAACTTCTCGTTGAAAACTACCGGCTCAATATTTTGGATACTTTGTATAAAGCTTCCTTGAGTGGACTTTTATCAGATTTTTTAGTCCGTGACAATATCTTCAGTACTTTATTTTTAGCGATTATTTTTGTCATTTTTGGTGAAAATGCTATTTCGATTTCTTCTTGAAAACTACAGGCTCAACTACCTCGATACTTGGTATGATTTGTAACAATCGCCATAACAACTATATAAACTACGCAGTTGTGATAAGGCAAGAACTTTGTGGTAGCAATAATCGTGGCAAATAAGTAATAGTGAGGTCGCTTGTTAAAAATAGAACAGGATTCACGGTCGTCGCGTTGCGCGTGTGCGTCATTTGTGTTGATAAACAATGCGATCTTCTAATGAAATCACGAGTATGAGGTTTGACCTGAACGGACTTGCACTAATTACCACCGGTGACTCCTTCGTTACCTTCCAATCACCTAAAAATGCCTAATTAAAGCTTGGTAACGTCTCAGTTTGTTCTCGTTGGTCTTCGCAACAGTCAAAGTCGCCATCTTTGTTTATTATTATACCCATATTTTGTGCGTGCGTGGCGCGACGACCACCGCCTTTTAAATAGTTTGCCTTATGCTAATTACATGGGCGACCGAACGAGTTCTGACCTATGAATCCAGACGTTATCCATATTGTAGATCCACAACCGTTTTTCTGAGATGACTACGCCGACTTCATCCAATCTTCGCATGATGACTGTTAGGTTACATGATTCTGAGCACACGCTTTATTTTCGCGTCTCGATTAAAGAGGGGGAGTCGTCATCAACGCATGCGCCAAATTGTCATAGCGTGTCATTGTTTACAAACAAGCGTCTACCCACGAGCCTTTGCGTTCCTAGCGTGTGTTGTTATCATCGCTTGGGACTCAATTCCCGCGCGTGCGCAGGTGACGACCATCCCTCTTTAAATGTGTCCGACTGGCAACCATTTTAAATATTTCCCCCTGTTTCTATACTATCGCTTCTTATTCTATGATATGCATATGTATTACCAAATATGTCACACTTTACACATGCATTGTATAAAATTGATGTGCATATATTACGAGGTTAATACGAAAAGTATGCACGAATACAGTCTTTTGATCACATCGACCTACGCGTAGCATTTTCCGTCCCTCTGCTTGTAGTAATAATTTAATATGAGATAACAGGATGGCCAGGAAAAAACGTTTCGCCAACAATTGCGTTGAGTGGATGAATTCTACAAATTTATACCTAACTGGAAGCCGGTACTAGAGTTAGATTAAACCTGGGGTAACATTTTCCCTCGAACACCTGCCCGGCAGCTGAGCTCAGCAAACATTGAAAGATTTTGTATTGTGACATTAGTACTCGCAATTGGTTCCCGTAATTTGAATTTCCAGTTGCATGTTGGGGACGAAATTAATTGAATAAATATGTTTCTTCTTGATTAGCTCCGCCGTCGACTTTGTCGAGCGGAGCTTATCATATGAGTGATTGTCCGTCGTCGTCCGGCGTCCGTCGTCGTCCGTCGTCCGTGTCAATTTTTAGCTCCGCTGTCGACTTTGTCGAGCGGAGCTTATCATATGAGTGATTGTCCGTCGTCGTCCGTCGTCGTCGTCGTCGTCCGTCGTCGTCGTCCGTCGTCGTCGTCCGTCGTCGTCCGTGTCAATGTTTTACTTTTTCGACTTCTTCTTGAAAACTACAAGCCTGAATGCTTTGATACTTAGTGTATATGTACCTTGGGTAGACCTCTCTTAGGTTTGTTCATTTCATGTTGATATCTTCAATTCTCTAATGTTGGTGAATATTTTTGTCATTTTTGGTAAAAAGTGATATTTTCGACTTCTTGTTAAAAACCGCAAGTGCAAATGCTTTGATATTACATATATAGGTACTACATGTGGACCTCTCTCAGATTTGTTCATTTTGTAATGATATCTTTAATTCTATAATTTTGGTGAATATTTTTGTCATTTTTGGTAAAAAGTGATATTTTCGACTTCTTGTTAAAAACCGCATGTCCAATTGCTTTGATACTACATATATAGGTACTACATGTGGACCTCTCTCAGATTTGTTCATTTTGTGATGATATCTTCAATTCTCTAATTTTGGTGAATATTTTTGTAATTTTTGGTAAAAAGTGATATTTTCGACTTCTTGTTAAAAACCGCAAGTCCGATTGCTTTGATATTACATATATAGGTACTACATGTGGACCTCTCTCAGATTTGTTCATTTTGTGATGATATCTTCAATTCTCTAATTTTGGTGAATATTTTTGTAATTTTTGGTAAAAAGTGATATTTTCGACTTCTTGTTAAAAACCACAATCATTTATGGTGAATAATTATATTTTTGAATTCTTGTTGAAAACAGCAAGTCCTATTGCTTTGATACTATACATATTGTTCATTTTCTAATGATATCTTCTGTTCTTTAATTGAAATGTGCATTGCTAACAGTGGAGCTATCTCAGCCGAGAGGCTGCTTGTTTAATATAAGGCCATACATAATGGTAGATATTAATGATGTTACGGATGGGTGATCGCAGTGGTTATAACGAAAGTTATGTAATCGTAGTTAACCATAAGAAACGTTTTTCTGTTGCTTTATTTAGGTCCTTCGGGGACAGATCTGCCAGTGGTCCCAGTGGGACCTCCTGGCATCCCTGGTCTACCGTCCGGGAATCCTTACGTGCCTGATGTCTCTGGGGGCGGTTCGGACGAAGTTGAACATGGTAAGACTTGTTTATCCGGTGTCATAGTAAGTTACTTGCACGGGGAAATATGTGTAGATTGTTATGGTCCAATCTATGCATTACAACAACACAGCTGCCTGCCAGATTGCGTCGTGTTCCCATGCGCGTGTACAACAAGTGTAAAGCACACTCTTTATTTTTAACGTCTATTTTCGCGTACAACATGGAGGTAAAATAAGATTATACTTTTAAATTTGTATTTTGAATTATATGTTTGGGACAACCTTTAAATGAGCTCTTCAACGTGTTTGTTGATATCAGATTTTGTCCCTGTAATTACTTAATTTAATCATTTTTGCCTTGCCCGTAGTATAGTATAAACGAAGGGGAAGGTATAGTAAGCAAAATATTTTGGCGTCGTTGTTGTTGTTGTTGTTGTTGTAGGCGTGACTTGTGGGTGTGATAACTCAAGTAATTTTTACACGATCGGTTTCAAATTTATATATGTTATAAACAAACATGCAAAGATGGCCAAGTTCGATGTTGGTGTACTTTGCTTGCATAATTAATGAGAGATGGCTACTGATTGGTTTTCGCTTGTGGGCGTGATAACTCGAGTAATTTTTACACGATCGGTTACTAATATATATATATATATATACATATATATATATATATGGTATAAACAAACATGCAACTATGAACAAGTTCGATGTTGGTGTACTTTGCTTGCATAATTAATGAGAGATGGCTACTGATTAGTTTTCGCTTGTGGGAGCGATAACTCGAGTAATTTTTACACGATCGGTTACTAATATATATATGGTATAAACAAACATGCAACTATGAACAAGTTCGATGTTGGTGTACTTTGCTTGCATAATTAATGAGAGATGGCTACTGATTGGTTTTCGCTTGTGGAGGCGTTAACTTGAGTAATTTTTACACGATCGGTTACTAATATATATATGGTATAAACAAACATGCAACTATGACCAAGTTCGATGTTGGTCAGTTTGATCAGATACACTTAATATACATTTATCCGTATCAAAGTACACATGTACGTTATATGCGGGGGGGGGGGGGAAATATGTGTAGATTGTTATGCTTCAACCTACACATTACAACAACAACACAGCTGCCTGCCAGATTGCGTCATGTTTCCATGGGTATGTACAAACAAGTGCAAAGTACACTCTTTATTTTTAACGCCCATGGAGGTAAAATAAGATTATACTTATAAATTTGTATTCTGAATTAATTTGTTGGGACACCCTTTAAATGAACCCTTCAACGTGTTGATACCAGATTAATTTAATCATTTTATTTCATTGTTTTCTAACCAAGATTCAGCTGAGTAAATTTACTAGTGACTTTTAAAAGGTTGATTATGTACCATTATACTGTGATGATCTTTTGTTACTGGCATTTCTTATATTATAACGGTAGCTTAATCAAAGGGGAACCTTCTAAGCCCAGGGATTGCACCAAAGAATCATGGGACACTATTGTTTATGTTGTTTACAAAGTTAATCTATCTTTTGTTATCCATTGTAATTTTAATCCAGAAATTAAATTTGTTGTGAAATCAGGCTTAACTGGAAGTGTCCCTTTAAGGTATAGATGTAGGTCCGTGGGCACTTGGCAGTGATTTTTTTTTTGCTTTTTATTATCCAAACAATCTTGGCTATAGACTGTTAAAATTTCGCTGCACTGTGAATAGTGAAACATACTCAAATGAGACAGGTACAAACATTCTCTTTTTTGAATGCTTAAGCTCAACGTAATTAATAAGAAAGAAACATGGCAAAAAAGTAATGATGGAATCTCCATATTATGCACTAGAGTATATTTAACTTTTAATCACCGACGCGTGCCTCGGTTTCCTATATTTTAAAATCGTTTTTTGAGTACGTTCCAACATTGACAAAACTCCGAAATGTTAACTGTATCTAGCAAAGACTGTCTGGGTAAGAAGAAGCAAAAACAAACCTTAACCCAACCAACGTTTTTTGTGTCTGAATCTATGTAAATATGAACAATTCAAAACTGTTCCATACCGTTTCTAATGATTCTGTATGTAAACTGGTCAGTATTAGATATCCAGTCATCGTTATACTCATATGTGTGTCCTCTCTCCCCTCAGATGACCCATATTCAATCGTCGCCGATTTGCCACCATGCGTCCCAAGACTCGCGATGGTGCCGATACCCAAAGATCGAGACCCAGCAGTATTTCTGTGGCCTCCATGTGTGGAGCTACATCGTTGTGGCGGATGTTGTAACAACGAATTATTTGTCTGCGAGGCGACTAAGACCAACAGCGTGGACGTGAAGGTAAGCTTTCAAATCACCCATCTGTCTCGTCGCATGTTTTCCCGTTATCGATCCTTAAAACATGCACTTTCGTTCTATATTGTTTAACAACGACAAACTTGGTACTGGTAAAGATATTAATGTGACACTTGTTTTATAGCTGAACAATGTGCCACTGATCCCCAAAAGTATGGTCATGTTTATCATCTTGATAACTACAATATACTATGTGTATTCCCGGGGTTATATCAAATACAATGTTCGTTTGACATCTTTTATGTAAGGGTTATAACAATATCATAGACTCTAGTCTGGTGTAATAAGTCCAAAACACTGTATACCCTGGGATGAAAGATTGCTTACTAAAACGGAAAATCGATTGTATATATTTTCACTTAAATGGCGGTGGTCGTCGCGCGTATGTGTGATTTTTTTTGTTGATAAACATTAATTTTTCCATAATCTGATGCGCTCTTTCAATGAAAATCATGAGTAGAGTTTTGACCTGGGCGCGAATTACACTAATTACCACAGGTGACTCCTTCGTTACCCTTCAATCTCCAAAGTTAGTTAAAGCTTGATATCGTCGCAGTTTGTACTCGTTGGGCCGCGCAACAGCCAAAGCCGGTATCTTTGTTCAGATATCTCGCGTATGCGCGGCGCGACAAACACCGCCCTTTAAAATCCTACGTAGGTAATTTGTCACGAGTGCCACCCGGGCATTATTGTTTGTAATATCAGAGGTTGTACATTTTCCAGGTGTATCGAACTAGTTTCGACCAGAAAAACCCCGAGGCGTTACCAGTGGAAGGAATACAGACGTTCAGGTTGACGAATGAAACAGGATGCGAATGTTCCTGTAAAGTGAAATCAGATCATTGTAACTTGGATATTCATCGCCATGAAAACTGTCAATGTGTTTGCAAACAGCCAGAGAAGGGCGTTACGTGTATGGAAAGAAAAGTATGGGATGAAAGCACGTGTAGCTGCCTGTGCAAAGCCTCGATGTCTGACAGGTGTAGTATACTACAATCTTATAGCAAATCGGTGCGTATTGTAACATCGGTAAACTACTGGGGATTGTGCTGATAACAGCTTCCATTTGGCATGTGTTAGTCGGTTAATTTCGGTTGTTTTGCCCTGTAGGATATGTTACCCCAGAAAAAAAATGTGGGACGATTCCACATGTCAATGTGAATGTAAAAGAACGATCAGCTGTAAGGAAGGCTACGTGTGGAATATCGACAAGTGCAGGTATATAACTTAACGTGACGTAATGGAATGTAATGTAACGTAACGTAACATGTTTATTCTGTGTTAAAAATAGATCAATCTAAACTGATATTCACTTTACTTTTAAAAGTTTTTTTTATAATGTGATATGACGTAATGCAATCTCATGTCATTTGACGTAATGCACATTGAATGTAATGTGATACAATACGATCTTATGCCATGAAATGTAATGCATTTATATTATGATGTAATGAATCTCATGTCATGTGGTGTAATGTATTTATGATGTGACGTAATGCAATCTTATGTGGTGTGATGTAATGTATTTATGATGTGACGTAATGCAATCTCATGTCGTGTGGTGTAATGTATTTATGATGTGACGTAATGCAATCTCATGACGTGGGGTGTAATGTATTTATGACGTGACGTAATGCAATCTCATGACGTGAGGTGTAATGTATTTATGACTTGACGTAATGCAATCTCATGTCATGTGGTGTAATGTATTTATGACTTGACGTAATGTAATCTCATGTCATGTGGTGTAATGTATTTGTGATGTGACGTAATGCAATCTCATGTCATGTGGTGTAAAGTATTTAAGACTTGACGTAATGCAATCTCATGTCATGTGGTGTGATGTATTTATGACTTGACGTAATGCAATCTCATGTCATGTGGTGTAATGTATTTATTACGTGACGTAATGCAATCTCATGTCGTGCGGTGTAATGTATTTATGATGTGACGTAATGCAATCTCATGACGTGGGGTGTAATGTATTTATGACGTGACGTAATGCAATCTCATGTCATGTGCTGTAATGTATTTACGATGTGACGTAATGCAATCTCATGACGTGGGGTGTAATGTATTTATGACGTGATGGAATGCAATCTCATGCCATGTGGTGTAATGTATTTATGACGTTACGTAATGCAATCTCATGTCATGTGGTGTAATGTATTTATGACGTGACGTAATGCAATCTCATGTCATGTGGTGTAATGTATTTATGACGTGACGTAATGCAATCTCATGTCATGTGGTGTAATGTTTTTATGACTTGACGTAATGCAATCTCACGTCATGAGGTGTAATGTATTTATGACGTTACGTAATGCAATCTCATGTCATGTGGTGTAATGTATTTATGACGTGACGTAATGCAATCTCATGTCATGTGGTGTAATGTATTTATGAGTTGACGTAATGCAATCTCATGTCATGTGGTGTAATGTATTTATGACGTGACGTAATGCAATCTCATGTCATGTCGTGTAATGTATTTATGACGTGACGTAATGCAATCTCATGTCATGTCGTGTAATGTATTTATGATTTGACGTTATGCAATCTCATGTCACGTGGTGTAATGTATTTATGACTTGACGTAATGCAATCTCATGTCATGTGCTGTAATGTATTTGTGACTTGACGTAATGCAATCTCATGTCATGTGCTGTAATGTATTTATGACTTGACGTAATGCAATCTCATGTCATGTGCTGTAATGTATTTATGACTTGACGTAATGCAATCTCATGTCATGTGCTGTAATGTATTTAAGACTTGACGTAATGCAATCTCATATCATGTGCTGTAATGTATTTATGACGTGACGTAATACAATCTCATGCCATGTGGTGTAATGTATTTATGACATGACGTAATACAATCTTATGTCATGTAATGTAATGTAATGTATTCATGAAATGACTTAATGCAATCTTGTGTCATGTGGTGTAATGTATTCATGACTTGACGTAATGCAATCACATGTCCTGTGGTGTAATGTATTTATGACGTGACGTAATGCAATCTCATGTCATGTGGCGTAATGTATTCATGACTTGACGTAATGCAATCACATGTCATGTGGTGTAATGTATTTATGACGTGATGTAATGCAATCTCATGTCATGTGGTGCAATGTATTCATGACTTGACGTAATGCAATCACATGTCATGTGGTGTAATGTATTTATGACGTGACGTAATGCAATCTCATGTCGTGTCGTGTAATGTATTTATGACGTGACGTAATGCAATCTCATGTCATGTGGTGTAATGTATTTATGACTTGACGTAATGCAATCTCACGTCATGTGGTGTAATGTATTTATGACGTTACGTAATGCAATCTCATGTCATGTGGTGTAATGTATTTATGACGTGACGTAATGCAATCTCATGTCATGTGGTGTAATGGATTTATGACTTGACGTTATGCAATCTTGTGTCATGTTGTGTAATGTATTTATGACGTGACGTAATGCAATCTCATGTCATGTCGTGTAATGTATTTATGACGTGACGTAATGCAATCTCATGTCATGTCATGTCGTGTAATGTATTTATGACTTGACGTTATGCAATCTCATGTCACGTGGTGTAATGTATTTATGACTTGACGTAATGCAATCTCATGTCATGTGCTGTAATGTATTTGTGACTTGACGTAATGCAATCTCATGTCATGTGCTGTAATGTATTTATGACTTGACGTAATGCAATCTCATGTCATGTGCTGTAATGTGGTTATGACTTGACGTAATGCAATCTCATGTCATGTGCTGTAATGTATTTAAGACTTGACGTAATGAAATCTCATATCATGTGCTATAATGTATTTATGACGTGACGGAATGCAATCTCATGCCATGTGGTGTAATGTATTTATGACTTTACGTAATGCAATCTCATGACGTGGGGTGTAATGTATTTATGACGTGACGGAATGCAATCTCATGCCATGTGGTGTAATGTATTTATGACTTGACGGAATGCAATCTCATGTCATGTGGTGTAATGTATTTATGACGTTACGTAATGCAATCTCATGTCATGTGATGTAATGTATTTATGACGTGACGTAATGCAATCTCATGTCATGTGGTGTAATGTATTTATGACTTGACGTTATGCAATCTCATGTCATGTGGTGTAATGTATTTATGACGTGACGTAATGCAATCTCATGTCATGTCGTGTAATGTATTTATGACGTTACGTAATGCAATCTCGTGTCATGTTGTGTAATGTATTTATGACGTGACGTAATGCAATCTCATGTCATGTGGTGTAATGTATTTATGACTTGACGTTATGCAATCTCATGTCATGTGGTGTAATGTATTTATGACGTGACGTAATGCAATCTCATGTCATGTCGTGTAATGTATTTATGACGTGACGTAATGCAATCTCATGTCATGTCGTGTAATGTATTTATGACTTGACGTTATGCAATCTCATGTCACGTGGTGTACTGTATTTATGACTTGACGTAATGCAATCTCATGTCATGTGCTGTAATGTATTTGTGACTTGACGTAATGCAATCTCATGTCATGTGCTGTAATGTATTTATGACTTGACGTAATGCAATCTCATGTCATGTGGTGTAAAGTATTTAAGACTTGACGTAATGCAATCTCATGTCATGTGGTGTGATGTATTTATGACTTGACGTAATGCAATCTCATGTCATGTGGTGTAATGTATTTATGACATGACGTAACACAATCTTATGTCATGTAGTGTAATGTATTCATGACATGACTTAATGCAATCTCATGTCATGTGGTGTAATGTATTCATGACTTGACGTAATGCAATCACATGTCCTGTGGTGTAATGTATTTATGACGTGACGTAATGCAATCTCATGTCATGTGGTGTAATGTATTCATGACTTGACGTAATGCAATCACATGTCATGTGGTGTAATGTATTTATGACGTGATGTAATGCAATCTCATGTCATGTGGTGCAATGTATTCATGACTTGACGTAATGCAATCACATGTCATGTCGTGTAATGTATTTATGACGTGACGTAATGCAATCTCATGTCATGTGGTGTAATGTACATGGAGTGTGATGTTACGCAATGCCATCTCACGCAATGTCACGTGGTGTAATGTACTTATAATGCGATGTTATATTGTGCCATGTCATGTCATGTCATGTCATGTTTATTTGACGTAGTGTGACCTCATGTCATTTGATATGTTTACATTTTCTGACGCTGTATTATGTTATTTTTGACTATTACTGGTAACTGTTTTCTTTTTAGGTGTGAACGTCTGAAGCCTTTTACTGTAAAACATTGCCCACCCACAGATTGTCCACTTGGCAGATTATTGATGCCACCAACATGTGAATGTATACAACCTCGCGATGTCTAGCCATTGTTATAGCAAGTATATTTCATTAACAAAGGTGTCTGATTCAAGTGTCTGAAAAAAAATTAATTCAGCAAATGTAAATAAGTCAGGAGTTCATCTCGACTACATTTCACATGTGACTCAAGTTATTTAATACTGGGCTGATTTGTCGTTTTTCAATTTGACCGCTCTTATAAATAGCGCCCTCTATTGACGGAATGCTTCTTTGAGTAATTTCAGTAACTAAGCAAAATAGACATTATATATATATATGCTTTATATTTTTATAGTCACAAAATATTGTAAAATACGTCTTATGTAATAAATGTTATTTAACTGTGTATATCATGATTGATTGTCTAATGGCATACTAAGTATACGCACCCATGTGTCTCGTGATACAGGTATGTTATCAGTCACGTCACATAAGTTAAATTTTATCAAAGTTGAGGGAATAGATACTAAAATAGTACTTTTCTTGAGAAATATGTTGAGTAAAATCGTGCATACACATGATAACTTTCATGCACCGTGTCCCGAAGGTTATGCTCTCTTGAGTCAAGGTGCATCTGTTGCATAATGATGTTCAAATGACCCAGTTTATAGCGTATATATGGTTTTGGTCTTCGACTTCAGTCAATTTAAGGATTAGCTCTAAATTGCGTACGACTAGACTGCCAAGCTGAGTTGTATACTGAGTATTTCAACGGTATTTTGTAGGTTTAAACTACGTAATTTTGACATCACTGAGAATTATGTCGCTCGAGGGCGTCACTCATGGGAAAATTTATAGATTCAAAGTTTCTCTGCAGTACAGAACAAAATAGATGTGTTTATAGCATTTGATAAAAGACCCAGACTAAGATAAAAACTAGAACTTTAACAACAAATTCAATTTTTGTATTTTATCCATTCAAAATTAGACATATAAAACCAAACAAGAGCTGCAGACTTCCTATTTGTTCTAAACTAGGGGAACAACCATGTCCAGCTTTTAATCCATTTGACTATGTTTTGTTGCAAATATTTGTCAAAAGGTGTACGAACGTTATGTTAACCATTTGCTGCTATATATACATATATATATATATTTATATATATATATATATATATATATTTATTACCAAGTCGTACGCTACAAGCACTGCGTAGTCATATTTTTTTTAGCAAGTTTCGTATTTTATCACTCGCGTAAACAGAATTCAGTCTTAAAGGACGATGGTCGTCGCGCCACGTGTGTTTGACATTTGTGTTGATAAACATTGGATTTCCCGTAATCCAATGTGCTATTCTAACGGAAATCACAAGTATGAGATTTGACCTGGGTGTGACATGCACTAATTACCTTGTTAAAGTTTGTAACGTCTCAGTTTTGTAATCGTAGGTCTGCGCTACAATCAGAGTACCGGGTAGCCATCTTTGTTCATACGACACCCATATCTCACGCCTGTGTAGAGGTGTTGTCCACCGCTAGTAAGTGTAGCTACTGAAAGGTTCCAGACATAATCCTTTAGACCATTGTTATATATAAATACTACATGCATACTCAAGTTTGTTTCTATCTTAAAATTGTGTTCACATTTCTAAATGTAATTCCAGGTCATGTTTGTACCTTTGTGGGGAAAGTATGCCAATTTGCAGGTTGTTACACACAATTCTAAATTCGATGTCCATAGTCGTATCATCTGTATAATGTTCAATTGAGTTATTTTCTATTTATGAAAATCAAAACGATAAACTGTTTTGATTAACATATTGACAAATGCTAACCATTTGCCGTGTGTCATATTGTACGATGACACGTCTTAAATGATGAAAGGTTGTACAGTAGAACATATGTGGTTAAAGCGAATCATTGTTTACAAACAAGCGTCTACCCATGAGCCTTTGTGGTTTTAGCGCGTGTTGTTATTGTCGCTTGAGACTCAATTCCTGCGCGTCCATAGGTGACAACCCTTCCACTTTAAGTAAGCAATGTTGCATACAATATTTAATGATGTAGATGAATCTTGGAGTGATCATTGGAGAATTTTAAAGGGAGAGGGTCATAAAGAATAGTCACTTAGGACAACGAATATCAAATATTATCCACTAAATGTATTATATTTATTGATTCTAGCAGCATTTATTTATTTGCCTAGAGAATATATAGGAAACCATCTGTCTTGTCTTCAATTAACAACCTCATTTTTTTGGCAATTTGTCTCTCAATTCATCCCTTTTCCTTTATTCATAATTATTATAGTCATTGGTAAATTCTTTTTATTTCGAACTAAGTAAATTACAAACACATTTATAAAATATTATACAGAAATTATTCATAAAAAATAATGAACATAAAATATCAATTATAAAATTGCAGTAATGGTGCATAACAAATCTTGTATTAAAAGTTGCATAGTGTTCATAAATTTATAAATATATATAAATATGTCTCGTTATAAATAACTGATCTGACTGAATACAGATTACAGAAAACACAAAGTACATTCTTCTTAAGTTCACACATTGTCTCCTGATTGGCTAGCTGTGGAGACTTTCAGCAAGTGATGCGTTAATAAACCATATATGATGCATTCCATTTGTCATATGCTAACTTCAGGATGGAATCCATTTTTGTGTTCTTTTATTTTGCTTTTGTACATTAGATAGAGAAACCTTTCATGCAGAAAAACATCAATAATTTGTAGTGTTTTCAAATTTTCTGCATTTTCACAAGTCATCAAATACAACGAAAGGTCAGCCTGCAAGTATTCAATTTCGATTTTCACTTAAAATAAAGTTGAAAATCAAGCTAGATATAGACATCCCACCCCACATAAATATACATTGCATACAATATTTACATGCGTATATATTAGGTGGTACCATGGTGCATTGCAACCATTGTCCTTTAACTGCAAGATGGAATTGCTTTCAAAATAGTGATAAAATGTGTTTTTCTATAAATATTTAAAAAATACAATTTAGATTTAAAAATATCTATTCGTACATTCATAAAATAATATTTACTTTATAAAATTCATTTTAAATAATAATTTTTTTTTCATTTAAGAACAAAAAACAAACTGTTTTTTAATACTTTCTGATGAATAAAGTTCACAAACATTGAAAATAAACATAAAAGCTCACATTTCTGGAAAAGGGGCTTAAGTAAGTTTTTTTTTTTCAATAGAATTTCAGATTTGAACCTCTATTATGATACATCTAGCACCAAATACAACAGAATTTGGCACTACATAAAAGTATGCATCACTAACATTGAATGGTTCCAGATAAATTACATGTCGTAATTCCAACATTTCTCTTCGGTTACCTCTGATGTGACAATAATATATAAAGGCAGTGAGGGATGAAATCTTTAATCGCTATACGTCATTCGATACAATCACGTACTGCCTTCATCATGGTATTCTCGTGATAACAAATCACTATTGCACTGCAGATTGATGTTGATTTGCAAAATTTGAGACTGAAAAGATGAATTTGACATTCATTGCATAGCACGGTGTAATTTAAATGCAATGAAACTAGTCTTGACCAAACAACAAATTTACTGAGAAAAGTTATTCATTGTATAATGGATTGGAAAACCAAATTTTACCTTGTATTATAACCCTAAAGTTGTTGCTTGTTTCAGGTACATGTACCAGCATCTTACATATACAGGTTTCCAAGGACCTACATCACAAAATAACAAAGTGCGACAACTGTAGCACTGTAAATAAATGATGACGTACACTACGATGCGTTTGAGACCGTCTTGTTTGACGCACTTGTGTAAATATTATGTAACTGGCAATGTAGCGGGTTTTCTGTCTTGAATTCAAAGATCAACGACCGGTCAACACAAAAGTTATTTACTTCTAAGCCGTCTTCGCTTGTTGACACTACCTCTGTACAAGGGAAATCCTCATCTTCTACTCCATGGGTGTGAAATGGTCGGTATGGTGGCGGTGGCGGTGGTGATGAGGATGCAGAAGAGTCGTCCACGGAACTGAAATAGATAAATGAAGGTGTAAATCATACAGGAATACAAGAATGGAAAGTTTATTATTGAAACTTTACAAATGTAATTTTGAGTGCATGTCAGGTAGAGTGGAGTTGAATATTCTCCTCCCCCCTCCCCATTTTGGTGACTGCAAGCCTTCAATCAACAAAAACGACAAATTCAATATTTTCAGTCAACTCCTGACTGAATTGCAAACATACAGCTGATTTCATTAAACCGGTGCATCAGAAATCTTGTCAAGATATGCATGAATTTGAATCCCATCACAGGCAGTATTTCAAAAGGTTTTCCCTTCTGAGGTTATTTCTCTCTCGCAGCATCTACCAGACATTGGTGACGTCACAGAGAAAGTTATATTTTGATAACGATGATTGTGTCGTCATTAGAGAGTACTTCACTATAGGCAGTATAAATACCGTACCTGTTACAGGAGTCCTCCCCTGCTGATGAATCAGCGAATACTTGATGTTCATGTATAGTAGGTAAACCAGTCACACACTGGGCACTGAACTGTAGCTGTCTGGCAGTACGTGAAGATATAACCCAAGTCAGTTTACTCCTTGGAATTCTCATTCGTGGTGATCCGTACAACACTAGGAATTCAGATACATGTGTTCGACACTGGAGAAGCTCACAGTCTGTTATCTGTAGAAATATTCATGAAATGCACAAGAGCATGACAAAAATAATGTTGCAGGTGTTCTATTATGCTTTTTTTTATGGAAATAACTGTAACATCTAATACCCTGTAGGTATGTTGTTTTCATTGTGCTGTCATAGAGGGCATACAATAATTACATTGCCAGCGAGGGCATACTTTCATTGCATTGCCAGCGAGGGCATAGTTTCATTGCATTGCCAGAGAGGGCAGTTTTATTGCATTGCCAGCGATGGCATACTTTCATTACATTGTCAGCGAGGGCATAGTTTTATTGCATTGCCAGCGAGGGCATACTTTCATTGCATTGCCAGCGAGGGCATAGTTTTATTGCATTGCCAGCGAGGGCATACTTTTATTGCATTGCCAGCGAGGGCATAGTTTTATTGCATTGCCAGAGAGGGCATAGTTTAATTGCATTGCCAGAGAGGGCATAGTTTAATTGCATTGCCAGAGAGGGCATACTTTTATTGCATTGCCAGAGAAGGCACAGTTTTATTGCATTGCCAGTGAGGGCATAGTTTTAGTGCATTGCCAGTGAGGGCATACTTTTATTGCATTGCCAGAGAGGGCACAGTTTTATTGCATTGTCAGCAAGTGTATAGTTTTATTGCATTGCCAGAGAGGGCATAGTTTAATTGCATTGCCAGAGAGGGCATACTTTTATTGCATTGCCAGAGAAGGCACAGTTTTATTGCATTGCCAGTGAGGGCATAGTTTTAGTGCATTGCCAGTGAGGGCATACTTTTATTGCATTGCCAGAGAGGGCACAGTTTTATTGCATTGTCAGCAAGTGTATAGTTTTATTGCATTGCCAGTGAGGGCATAGTTTTAGTGCATTGCCAGTGAAGGCATACTTTTATTGCATTGCCAGCGAGGGCATAGTTTTATGGCATTGTCAGCAAGTGTATAGTTTTATTGCATTGCCAGTGAGGGCATAGTTTTATGGCATTGCCAGTGAGGGCATAGTTTTAGTGCATTGCCAGAGAGGGCATAGTTTAATTGCATTGCCAGAGAGGGCATACTTTTATTGCATTGCCAGAGAGGGCATACTTTTATTGCATTGCCAGTGAACATTGATGCTGCAGGTCGGTGTCCTATCAACACTGATCTGACGTATATCGTGCAAGGAGTGCGAAGAGTTTGTTTGAAACTTCTAACATTTCAAAGTCAATCATTGGTTGGCACATATTTTATGGCTATAATAAATCGTTTCAGTGATTTCTTTACTAAATAATGATAAATGAAACTTAGAAATACTGTAAGAACAAACTGGCCCTAAAATTGTGCAGATTTGCAACAAGTTTACATTGCTAGCTCATGGTTCAGAAGACATTCTACGCATGATTTTATTGCATTCAAGCTACTAGTAGTTGAAACCTGAAATTACTCGGGAAATTTTAAACTTCAAACACAAATTTTATTATTTATTATTTCTGTTGTTCCAAAGATTGATTTTCGTATGACATCAATATTTCACTCACTAAGCAACATTTCACTAAAATATGTGATTAAAAAGCAACTTAAATTGCAAAAAGAAGTATCAAGTTCCATTTTTAAACGCTAGTGTAAAAAGGTGGCGGAGCACTATTTTAGCCAAAATTAGCTAGTAAGGTGTCATATGACACAGGTCTGTGCTGAGACAGTGCTTCCTGTTGTCATAGAGGGCATACTTTTATTGAGATGTACTTGGCAAAACAATGTTGAACAGAATTTAATAAATTTAAATTGTGAATCAGATCTCTATGAAACAAAATGACATGCATCAAGCTTCCATCTAAATATGTACCATGTCTGAACAAAATCCGTCTTTGTATAAGTGAAGATATGGTTTCTGAATGACAGAAAGATCATGGATCATGATAGTGTGTAATTGTGATATGATGCAGAATGCAGGTCTGAAGTTTGAACAGGATTAGTTCAGGCATGAGATATAGGTACACCAACACACCCACGAACAGATGCATGGACAGTCAGACACACACACACACAAAAAGGGCTGATGTGGCGTGATTTTACCATTGCATAAAAGGAATGATCCACAGCAGTCTAATAGTTTAAATATTAATTACTTAATTTAATTATTGCATTAGACACTGAATGTTTAATTAATTAGTGTACAGATATCCTAATTGTTTTAAGTTTAACTGATCAAATTTCCAACATTGTCCTGACTTTTTTCAGTCTCAAAATCTCCTCCAGTGATGCCCCCAGGCTTTCCGGGTCTTAATGGTGTAAACACCGGATAAGCCACAGATCAATTACAGCTAACAAGCCATTCTTTGAATCAATGCACCATTAATTACACATAAATATGGCAAAGTATCAAGTATTTAGAACAGACATGTTTACCTCTGTCAGCAGCTGCAGTGCTAAAGTTGATCGCATCCACTTCTTAGATGTGATATCTGTGACATCTGACCTGGCAGCTAGTTCGCAGCTCAGTAGGCACAGTGCTAATGTGGAAGCCTGCAAAAATGTAACAGATATAGCAATTTGTTAACAGGTCAGAAAGAAAGAAGACAACATATGGCTGACCCAATAGAATTGTATTTATTTTTATTTTTATGAGATTTTTAAAAGTCTTGCAACCTGGCCATAAGATTGTTCCCATTGTCTGAATTCTTTTCCAGTGAAATTTAAGTCGATATTCTCCTCATTAATGAATTCCTAAATCGAATAATTGGCCCAGACATGAACTCAATGCATTACACAAAATGAACTTCATGTGCACTCAGCCTGCATAAACAGCAGAAATTCCACTTTCCAGCAATGGGGGCGCTGTTCGTCATTTTCAAGATGTCCCTTCTCTCAAAACTATATTTTTGTTTACTGCACGTTGATCATAAACTGTAGGCGATGGTTAATTATATCGATTTGAATAAACAAATATGAATGAAATTATAGAGAAATACAAATGTGCAATTTGCACAATAAATTTGCCTGACAAAATTAGGAATAATATACAGTCAAAGAATGTGATGAAAAAAGAAATGCTTAAAATTAAAAAGCATGTACTGCACTGGAAATATCCAACAGATAAATGAATGTAGAGTTGTCTGAGTAAGTTGGCTCCTGTGTAACCGTAACAGTGAACAATTACATTTAGATTTGGCTTCAATATATGTCAATTTAATCAACAATAGCTAAGACCATTTTCAAACAATAAAATATTGTGAGAAATTGGTAATGATTTTTAAAAAAAAATCATGTGATGAACCACAGAAAGGTAAATTAAACATCAGGAACACATATTGCTAGTATGAGTGTAGGTTACCATGGTATATTTCACATGAATCTAGAAGACTTTGTGACTTCTTATCACATGATTTGTGATGTGGCTGAAGACGAGATATTAATTTGGTTTAAAAAATACAAATTGTAGTATTTAGCTATGTCTAAAACTATGTTATCTGTTTTTACTTTATCAAGAATAGAACCTCGAGGACATAGGTCCAAAATGGAGAGTTGTTAATCCAAGGTGAAAAATGCAGAACCTAAATGTTTTTGTTACTTAGCTTCTACAGAGAACCCTATTTACGTCTACATACCTTATACACAGTAAATGAAGTCTGGCACATACAAGCTTCCAACTTCCAGCACAGCTTCTCCAAGTGTTCGTCTTCTTCCCCAACATCAATGTGTAGAAATTCGCTGGCAATTGCAATAGCATGGAAAAGGTGCAGGAATGTCAGGGAAGTAGGACAGTCCAAATCCCACTCTAGTTTTTCCAGGATTATCCGTTGCATTCGGTTCAGATCGCTGACTGTGCATTTTGATTGGCTGATGCGAATAAGGTCAAATGCTGAGGGCATATCCTTTAAAAATAAACAAAGTTGAAACATGAGCAGTTACACATTTTAACTTTTTAAATTTTCATGTCAAAATAATGCCCAGTTTTTAATTTCCGATATCACTTGCACAATAGGTATAAATTTTGGTCATAAATTACTAATTCATTGAGAACAAAGCTCCAAATTTAAAAAAGCCTCGCGCCATATCCACACCTGACCATGAATTCTTTAGGTCAAACTATGGAGGTAAAAATAGACCTCCAATGTCAAAGACCACACTTTTCATTCTCCATTTAACCAGTATGTTTAGCGCCATCTAGTGGCAGGTAATAGCTTCATATATGAATGAAAATAAATGAACAATCATAATATATTGAGACTAGTTTTAACTGCGTGGTGGTCTAGTGATACCGATTAATTGTTCAAATCACAAATTTAACTCAAAACTATGCTCACAAAAATTCAATAAGTGAAACTACAGTATTGTGAAAGCCATGTGTGGTTGAAAAGATAAAGGTAAAGTATAATAATACCTGATCTGTGACTGTACTTTTAATCGCGATATGATAACAACTTACTGTGATACAAGCCATGTGACGTGGTCTGACCTAGAGTCAAATACAAAGAACACATGATATAAAACAGAACAGTGTACAGATTAAAACACTCATCAAGGAATATTGTGATATATTGATGAATTATTCCATGTGCCTGGTTATTTGAAAGTAAGATTTCAATTACTGTCAAATACTTAATTTTCACTTGGAATTAATTCTGCTATTTTCGCGGAAGGAATGATTCAGTTAAAGTAAAATCCAGCGAATATATCGTTTTTCCTATATTTTACATTCAACTTGTCAAAATTCAGTGAAAATAAATTCCATACAAAACACCCAAAATATATTTTCAGCAAAAATTAAGTCCAGTTAAAAATAAGTATTCTACAGAATTCAAAATGACCAGTAGAGTAGGGGTTCACAATATAGGGAAATCCCAAAGTCATTGTTTTATACTGAAACAAATTCAAGTACCCCCAATTTTCTACATTTTCACTATTTTTTAAATTAAAACATTTCATGAATTTTAAATCCTGGAAATAAGTCCAAAATATGAAATCAGTTGATATATGTACTTTTACATTGACTTGACCACATGAAGGTTAAATCTAGAGAAGGCAGATGAACACAATGTATATTTATTGTAGCATTGGTCTTGGCTCAATTCGGTACACCTATGTATGAATCTATCAAATTATGTTGGTTGGTTTAGTTATTGCGCCCTCACTGACAAACTCAGACATTTGAGCACATGTCTGTCTGTGAGGGCGCCATACAGTCTTATAATAAATAAAGACACTGCACTGTTTTCACATGCATTTAATGTTTTTAACTATTCACATATTATGCTGTACACTACTCAATGCAAAATAATAATTAGCTCTCTGTAAGCAGTGTTGCATGCCTGCATCAAATTGAGGTGACCCAAGATGGCATCAATACAAGTGCTTCCTGTTAACTTTTCGCTAGATACATGATGTACCAATGGTGAAATATATTTACCGGTAAATTTGGAAACAGTTTATTATTTCTGCCACCAATGGTGAAGACTAATTCCAAATCGTTAATTATCGATGATCAGATAAAATAGTCATCAGTTTTATTCAGAAAAATGTAAGCCCACAGAAAGGTACATTAAACATTAGGAAAACATACTTAAATCCCTTAATTTTTTCGTAGCTAGGAATTTTTGAATTTTGATGATTATATGGCATTCACAGAAACAAAATTTCATGAGTCACAGACTCTTTGTTGTTGGACCTTGGAGAAATTTTCATTGACTAGCTAAATTTGTCTTTCACCAAATTAAAATGGTTTACAGCAATGCACAATACAAAGTGTAAGTACCATATTTCAATTTGTGATGTGAAGTTTATTTCACTATAAACATATATACATATATACATATAATAATATACAAATAAATGTGATATAAATGAGTAAATAAAATGTAAGCAAACAAAAATTTGAATTTGAAATATATATATTTGTAGATAGTTGTAATGTGAATTGTGTTTTTTGATATAAGGCTATTGCCTCCCTGTTTTAATGATGTTGAAAACAAGCTGGCAACTTGCTTTTAGAAAAAACTAAGGAAGCCCAGGAATAAGTCTCATTTAAAATTGTACCGTCAGCGTTGACTGAACAATTAATGTATTTACAGTATGCAATGAATTTACATGACATTTTACCCACATCTAGCAAGATAATGGAATGATCCCAATTTTGGGCATGCCAGTACGACGACGCCATCAAGTCTAGATTGGAAAAGACCCAAGTGTTTTGCAAAGTTGCAAGATATATTGCTAACTGACTGTCCGAATAATTCTCAGAACGGCTGTAACACTGCAACTATCATTATCAAAATGTCATTACCTTGAGGATGGAGAGAAATCGATCCATCACATTGACAGCTATCATGAACGTCTCCGAGGGATAACCGTAAAATCTATTTAACACCCGCAAGTTCTGTATACTTTTATTACGAATCTCTGGTGTGATGACATCCGTACTACTCTGAAATTGACAACAGGAGATACGAGTTAAATTACCTCAACAAGAAATTTCGTTATCTCAGATAAATTAAAAAATCTTTATATTTTTAATGGGGCATGCTGAGGTGGTAGCTTTTGGTCTAATTCATGGAATTCCACATACTAAAAATGTCATTCAAAGAATATTATGCGCTGCTGTACACTTTATGCAATATATGAAGGAAACCGTAATACCGTACTATATACTCTTAATTTTTTATTTGAATCAAGTCACTCACAGTTGCATACAATTTTATTTATTAACCCCCCCCCCCTCCCCCAGCAGTTGACTCAATTTGTTTTTTGAGATTCCATTTTGATTCAAAATCCCAACAAGTACAAGTATCAGTCTTGTTAGTGGGAACGCTGTATTGGAGATGTGTTTCTAATAGATGAAAAATAAATACAGCAAAAGAAAGCCGCAAATACCTATTGCTAAATGACCGTACTAAATGATTCTACATTAGCATCGCTATTTATTTACAGTTGTGGTCCAAATCTTTGTCGGGTAAATTGTAGGGCAGGTGAACAATTCATAATAGGATTGGAATCGCCATTTAACCGTTTCACCACCAGTTCCCTTTTTTTCATCACAAATTCACAAAATAATCCCGTTTATAGTCTGCACTTTCCTTCAGAAGATTGGGATAAAATAGCCATTTTTTTCAGCAAAGACTGTTAAAATTAAGGGTTTATTTCCAGAAATATTGAAGAATATAAAGAAAAAAAAGTGGAGAAAAATTTTGGCGAGAAAGTCTGGTGTTGAAAAGGTCATTATAGTTCACCCATCAGTAAATCTTAAGTCATTGTTGTATAATGTATTATTATTGCATGCAGTAACACACATTGTAGAACATACTAAAAGGACCCAGAATAGAAACTTGGAAATCTTTAATGTTTTGTTATTCCTGGCAGCAATCAGTGTACCTGTACTACATTTGCAGAATGAATCTTTAGACGGCAGGTCATAAGGGCAACAGCATGTATAATTCCCTAAGGGGGTTGTGAGGTGTTTGACTCAAAGTTTTGTGATTGTATGACTAAATTATATGATAAAAAAAATTGACTTATAAGAATATCATAACACATTGTTTTACAATTCATGCCAATGAGTTTTCACACACATAGAAATCAACCTCATAAAAAATAATTCATGTCTTAATTGGCTATGCTTTGAGTTTCTTTTGCAATTTTGGCATCATACTTGTATTGTTTGCCTTAAATCTCTGTTGTTGCGACATTGATCAAATTTTTTTTTCCCCAAATGTTTTTGTGCCAGAAGACAGTTCTGGACATTGAATGTCACTGTTGTGTCTCCTGACTTTTTTTTTGTATGTGCATATTACAAGTGCTAATACTGACACATAGTGCATTTTTGCCACAAAAACCATATTCATGTTTGGTACTACATGACAGGGCTGTGCGGCTACTAGTATCTCCCTATCGAATGGCAATTTAATGCGTTTAATACATTAATCGAATTATTGGTTATTTCCATGAATACAATAAAGTGAACTATTATTTTTCATTTGTTCTCAATAAGTGATAACAACAAATCTGCTAACATGAAGAATTTAAGCACCAATAATTTTTAATTATGAAAAAAACATGAGTCGTCTAATCAGACGTTTTAGTTTCAACAATGAATGTAATAAGTTGACAAGCAAATTTATAGGAAACTACAAGAACCAATTTGCGAGTTTCTGTGTCATGTGATGCTTACGCCATAATTATCGGCCATTTTGTAGTCTTTGTTCATCGCTGGTCGCTATAAAATATTTCTTATCGTATCTATTTTATAAGATAACTTGTCATTTACAGAAGTCAATTATGTTATATAGATTATGCAGGAAACCAAAGTTCATAAATTTCACGATTCAGAAAAAAATATCAAATCAAAAAAAGCTTTAAAAGAATTCCTGCGTGCTCTCAGCATTCCCGTGTGCTCTCTGGGAGACGCATTAAAATAAATTAAAAATTTTAATTTAAAAATGATTAGCCTTGCAAATAAGAAGCTTGGCAAACTAATATTTGTCTGCAATTGAAGATGCACATGGTGAAAACAATGTGATCCACAATATTTATAATACTTACAGAAAATACATTTGATTTTACAGCTGTGGTTGTCAGTCTAATTAATTCAAGAGCACCTCTATCACAAAATCCTATTTAAATCTGATTTTTTGAAATTTTCAGAAAGGGGCTAAAAATAATTAGATATGCATGTTTTTCAACAATGAACTGATCATGTCTGGATTACCGCAATGAACCAAATTAATTATTATGCATAAATTTAGATCTGTGCATTGTTCCTGGATGCACATTTACAAAATTTCAATATAATGTGATAATTAATCTTAAACAAATTGGTGGAAAGCTGAAATTGGTATTGCATTATTATGCAAATTAGGTGTTTATTATTGATGTATATAAACCCCAAACTAATTACATTGCTGCATTGTCACAGAGTATATACGTACCAAGATTCATTAATATAAGATGATAGGTACTGGAGATATTGATGGAAAAGCTGATAACCGACTAATTATTATGCAAATCAGGTTACTAATGTAAAACTATAAGGTAGTTGCACAAAGTCATAGACCATCTATGTACAAAGTTTCATTGAAAAGGGGTTAGAACTAAATTAATATACAAACTAGGTAATTATTATGCAAAGATTTTAACCTGAAACTAATCAGGTCTGTGCATTGTCCTAGAGCATCTATATACCAAATTTCATCGAAATGTGATGATTAGTACTTGAGTTATCAAGAAGTGGAAAAGCAAAAAAATTTACTACTGGTAATCATATGCAAATTAGGTAATTAATATGCACAGATTTTGCCCAATACTTTTACCCATTTTTAAGATTCAGTGAAAAAAAAAGTGATTTTTTGGTTTATTTATGCATAGTCCAGGAAGAACATACATACTGGCACTTTCTGTGGATAATGTAGACATACACCAATAATTAGACAACACCAATAATTTACAATAATTACACCAACAAATTTTACCTAGCCAAACAGTTTTTGGAACTTCCATGGCAACTGCTTGCATTGTGTTCTGAAGATTACTTGGGAAAAAATCTCATTAATAGGGAATTTGCCAGGATGTGTGACTTTTAGGGGTTCATGAAAAGTACAAGTTCATGGGATCATTACCTGTGTGTAGCATTGCAGCATGTGTTCCAGAGTTGTTTGATACTGAGTTTCTTTGCTCAAAAGTTTCTGCAATGAACACAACAAGTGTGCCATCTCCTCCTTGTAATGGTGAGATATCTCCATCTGCAAAGAAAAAAAATAATCTTTGGAAATTTCATAAACTCTTCACATGGGTCCCATGCGATACATACAACGAAATAAAATGAATGACAGCATGCCTTATACATTTAATACTAGTATGTACTAAGATAGTTTCAGGATGCATACACATTTGCAATTTTCATCAAACAAAAACAGAATCTGTTGTAATAGTGGCTACATGTAATTGGCATGGTTCAGGTTGTATTATAAATTTATGGACCACCCTAATTCAGTCATGTATATAAATAAATACAGATAAGACAAATCAACATTTATATGGGGGGGGGGGATGTCTATTCAGAAGTTGACCTTGTATGAACTTAGATGATCAATTAGATTTCATAGATTTGTTTGACAGACGAAAAACTTATTTATGAAGCACTAACCAATTAATTAAATTTAAAGTCTTTCCGTTGTCGCGCCATGTTGTGTTTGATTTCGGATCCACAACGGTGTATACATTGCATGTACAATGGTTAGTTTACATAAAATACAAACATGTGCTTCCACGTGAATACAGAATATAAGCAATTTTTGGGTTTTTACATAAAAGAAAACTATTGGAAAAAATCAAAACCCCTAATAGTCGGTGAAGGTGTAATGCAATCAAAGGTCAAAACTGGGTAGCACAAA